AATGCTACTAACCCTCATCTAATGACTTGACCCTTAACAAGTAAGTTAATCAGATACTATGTAATGACGCGTTAGACTATTTTGAGCACTAATCCTCTCTCTTTCATAGAGGACCCTTGGCATAAATTTTAAATAGGAATTTTAAATTACTTATTCATCTATAATTATTTAATTAGTGAGTAAATTTTAAATATTTAATTTTTAGTAATTCATTAATGGGGTTTTTAATGCCTATACTACTTAATCTATTTCTTAAAATTAGTTAGCGGAATTAATATTTGTTATCACAGTGTGATGAGAGAAAAATATAAGGAGTAAATTTATGGAAAACCGCCAATAGAAGACTTAATGGTGTGGCTGAGGAAAAATTCTTGAGGTAAAAAAATAACAAATTCATCCATATTTCTATAAGTACTAGTTTTTTTGTTCATGTGGTTAATTATTATTATTATATTATTGTGTGTGAGGCTCCAATAGGTATAGTGTATTAATCACCGTCAAAGTAAGCTTTTCAATTAGGAAATTGAGGCTAAATATTAATGGCTGCTAACGTAAGTTTAAATTGTGAAATTTAAATTTAATTATTGAGGCTAATAAGGAAATGATCATTGGCTTATCATTGCTACACATTGCTGAAATGGTTCTGTTTCGTCTAGAGCTTACAGGTGAGGAGTTGTTACCTCGGCTTTAGCGATTCCATCACTACTTTCATAACCAACCAATCGTTTTCATACTTGTTAGTTATTTTATTATCACATTATGCTTTATGTTTTGATATATCAAAAAAGGTAATTAAATATCGAGTTTATTATATTACATGAAAGATGTTAGGGTTGTAGTGTTTGGAGAAAGTATGACTTAACCCTAGTCTTGAATTTGAAAAAATATGTGAGCCGAAGTGTTAATTGGCACCAAGATTAAGAACTTAATTATAAATTGGATGAGTTTTTACGTATAGGCTTGACATAATGTAATATGGGTATTGTTACTTTAAAAGTCTTATTGTGACTATTAATGTGAACAGATTGCTTGAGTTGGAAGTTCAACAAAAGGGGAAGACTCAAGTCTCAGAGTGAATTTTGGATTGATTGAGGCAAGTGAATTTATACACACTTGTTAAACGTATGAAATTCGTGTATTTCCTTGTGGTATCTGTTGGGGAGTAATAAGACTTGGTGAATGGTTGACTTGTCCACCTTGATTAATTCTAATAATGAAAAGGGATAATACAAGGCGACGTGATTAATTGTTTGTGTGTTATAGTGAGAATGGTATGAGTGCCACTGTTATAAAGGCAAATCTTATTACTATAGAATTGGATTATGATCCGAGAATGTCAAATCATATGAATATTAATTAATATATTATTGACTATATTTATTAGGTGTGATTCTGTTCTTTAATAAACCATATAATTGTGATAATGAATGTGATTATATGTCATAGCGACAATTGATTTATTGAGATGTTGGATCATCCTCTTTATTTGATATCATATTGTGCACATGCATTGACATGAGATTGAGTATGAGTAAAGGTCTAACACGATAATGACCCGAGGGTATACCCTAGAAGAAATGGTATCCAAGCTTCACTCCAAATTACTCCTCTAAATTTTCACCTACACCCTTAGAGATATGAAAATATATGGAATTATTACATAAGAATGCACTAAGTATGGTGATATGCAATATAGTAATGCTAAAAGGACATTTATGTAAAACATGCTCTTATGCTCTATTAAGAAAAACATTATAACATAGATATAAGAACCACTTTTACACCAAATTTCACATATAAGTTGCATTCCTAGTAATCCACAATATAGCATTAACATAAACTCAAATCATATAAGCATATAACCCTCCTACCAAATGTTATCCTAATACTTACTAACAAGAAGAGACCGCTTATACACCATCTTCAAGAACACCTAAATAATCCTTAAGACTTCCTAAGATAATATTATTCATTTTTAACATTTAACTCACCACCTAAGGTTACTCAAGATTCACTTGAGTAAGACATGAAGATATCTGTCATACACCATCTTCAAGCCTACTTAAGCAATCCGCAAAGCTACCCTAGATAGGGATACTTTCATTCAAATTATATTATCTTAAGTCATAATCACTCATTAAGTCAATTAAGATTCAATTAAGCATTTAGATAACTTCACATAATGGTCTTGGAAAAGACGTATGGAACCTACATAAGTAGAATCTCCAAAGCCTACTTGTGCCTTGTCTAGATAGTGTCCCATTCCACTACCTAAATGTAAAAGAAGTTACCAAATACTAGAATGTATCCTGCATGATGAGAATAGGCATTAACCGATATAGACCATACTATATAGGCATGGAATTTGGAGTCTTCCCTATTCCAACAGGGGGTGAGGGAGGGGGGGTTCTACTTGCCAAGGGTTGAACTATGACACATCTAATATAGCAATATGGTTAAGGAATATCAATGGTTTCTTTGTACTCTAGTCTAAACTTAAGTAGAGTCACTCCCCAAGCATACTCACGATATGCTAGCCTTAGTTCTCATAGAGTAAGTTAAATCACAAGGGCATATGAAGAGGTACCATATTTTAGTCACTACCAAATCATAACACACCTTACCAAGGATGGGTCACCTAGGGTTGTTACTCAATGGTAAATTAGGATAGCTCAATGACTTTCTTAGATATGGTTTCATGTCGTTCCAACCTACCTATCCCTAAGTCCATCATTTACACAATAAGGACACCATTACGTCTTTCAACTTCAAGGATATCATAACCTTCTTTCTAGTTTGAAGGATCCAAGTAAATTACCCTCTTAACCATGTTCAAGGTCATATATCAATCAAACATACACATAGATGACAAATATGCTTAAGCCTACTAAGTCAAGAGTTCATGTTCACATTCTTCATGTATCAAGTAAAGGGACATAAGTCTATCAAAACAAGATACACTTCATCATAATTTATCACATGTACAACAATATTCAAGTAGCACATAGGAACAACTAATTCTAGTACAAGTCACCCTACTCACTCCTATAAAAACATTAACATATTTCATCATAAGACTCATATAGTCAATTAGGAAGCGTCATACTTCAACATCAAGTATACACACATAAGAACATCACCATAGTCTATCATGATCACCTATAATCAGTTAGGAGAACTCAGGCTTTGCACATGCATAAACATAATCATATTTCAAATTGATCAACTACACAAGCTATACATAATAATATCACAATTCATAATAAATGTTGACAAGGTCATGTTCTTTGTCACTATAACACATAAGCACTGTCACCATAAGTGGGTCATACCAACAAATACAATTCAATACCTATACTACAAAATATAAAAAAGATTATGTCAACATACCACCATTCCATAATCGACATCTCCGACCATAGTCATTCCAACCAATTAAATTCACAAAGGCTCTTACCAATAGTCATACACACCATTCCAAACCAATAATTTAATCATACAATGAACCAAATAGAAACAATATTAAAATCATCCAGTTAAGACAGCCTATATACAATTTCTAACATAATCTTTAAATAATTCAATAGCCCAAAGTAATCTACACAATAATCCAATACAATTAAGTCTTGATCAAATCACCCATATTACAGTCAAAATAAGAAAATCATGATTTGCATGGGTTTGTAGTGTTTTTGATATCATCAATTCATTCATAAATCATTGATTCAAATCTTTTTATGGAAGAACCCATGGCTAGAATTCAATATAGAAGATCATGTTTTGAGATGTCTTAGAGTAGCCTTTTGAAGTATGAATCCTTGAAAAAAGATATTCAAGGATGGAACATCCTACCTTGATTGATGAAGATCCACGAAAATGATGAATATTTGAAGGAGAAATCAAGCTCCAAGCTCCAAGATCCAACCTTGCTCCAAGATTCAATGGAGTTCTAGAGGATTCTATTTGTGGTCTTGGGCTTTGATTTTGAATAATGAACTCAATTATAGGTTCTAGACATAGAAAGTCACTTAAAATACCCCATAATACCTTAAGTAACAGTCCAATATATTTTTAGAATGCTAGGTTAATTACCTAAACTACCCCTCACTAGGCCGAGATTATGCAGAGAAATTGCAAATCAATCGACGAGCTCACCTACGCTCCGTCGGTTGAAAGATGAGTCGTACTGGTGTTGCATCGTTTTGGTCAGATACCAATTCTTAGGGGCTTAATCTCCCACCAGTAAGTGTGGGGCGACGGCCCCCTGTTACGACCCGATCTCAAAAACTAAAGGGTTTCGAAGCCGATTTCGCAACTTTTGCAATTTTGTTAAAGTTTTTGGAAAAAAATTGTGTTTTGGGGAGTCTCCACTTAATTTTTTAGGAAAAGTTAAGAAAACCATTCAAAATGAATTTTAAAATAAAATCAGAGTAGGGTAAGAGTTCAAATAATTCTCTAAGGAAGGGTTTAGTCACCTTAGAGAATCCGCAAACACGCGGTTACCGACGAATTTAAAAATTTGGCTAATTTTATATATAAAAGATTTAATTACAAAAATCTTGGTTTATACTCATAGAAAAGTATTTTGATACTTCTAAAAATCTTAAGATTTATCTCAAATTTTGTCCATAGTCATATTTTTAACCACACAAATGCTTCAACACATAAACGTGAATTGAACGAACTTGTTTAAAATAACTATGAAAGGATATTAACGATCCTCAAGTCATTCATAGAAAGATCTAAATTAAAATAAAAGCAACTAATTTATTTTTAAAAACTTGACAATTTTTTTTCCTATTCAAAAACTTGAACTATATAGTTAGTTCAAATTCATAAACATGGATCCAAATATTTTCAATAACTATGAAAGAACATAAAGGGTTCTCAAGTTATTCTAATAGGCTTATATTGTCCAACTTAAAAAAATGAGCTACGAAAACTTAAAGTAAACAAGTAACAAAATTGAATAGTCATTCGAAAACCTCCCAAGTATTCATCTAAGTTTAAGGAAAAATCAACAGCCACAAAAATAACAAAGTAGATAAACATAAACAATAAATAAAATAACTAAGAAACTTTCAGCCCATAAATGGTCACTTTGAGGCTGAAAATAATGCCTTTTGCGGCTTTGATTTTAGGCCTTTTGGCCCAAAATACTTTCCGTTCCTGCTGTGCTATTCTCAGACTTTGTAAGTCCAATAAATGCTACTCTTCTGGCCCTTTGAGGCTGCAACAAATCTTCTGTACTTAGTGCACATTTGAGGGTCCAAAACCATCAACTTTCGGCCTTTACAAGGCTACTGCAGCTGCTTCTAATTGCGGGTTTTAACCCCCATTTTTGCTCCTCATTTGAGGTCTTTGGAGCTGTTGTTGCTGCTGATTTTTGGGTGTTTAACCCAATAACAGGACTCCCTTTCACAACTCCAAAGAAGGTTGACTCAAGAAGAGGAATAATGCAAGAAAATGGAGTCCGGATGGACTCAAATTGATGTGTTCGTGCAGAAAATAAATAAGAAAAATTATTAGCAATTGATTGGTGAAAATGATCTATGGCATTAATTATAATATGCAACAATATCAACTCGTCGAAGGTTTATGAATGGATCAGATATCTGACTAAACAAATGAATTAACTGGACTCCGATAATTGCTAAACATCCAACTTAAACAAGAAACAAAATATAACTCTCGAGGTTACGAAATAGAAGCACTACTAACAGTGATCACAAAGATATTAGACCATTTGTATTTGAAATATATATATATATACTAGATGAGTGTTGCCCGTGCTAAGCACGGGCCCAACATTTTACACTTTAAAGTAGTGGCAACAATAACATATACATAACTGCAAAAAGTTTGTTTAAAAGTTTATGCCCGAGAATGTCTTCATAAGTCATATAGACATAACGTTATTATGTGTTCTTTCTCCACCACCCTCCGATGTCTCTAATAATATACAACCTGAACCATAATAAATACACACATAAACAATATATCTAGAAGGTCATAAACAAACCAACAACGAAAGCTGCTCCCATTAATACTACAAATACGACATTCTATCTTTAGCTATAATGGTGTATTGACGAAAAAAATTGAGCTATGAACATACTAAACAATCACAAGAAACACCTACCTTAGACACTCCTTTGTAAACATCCTCACCAGCAGGATTATAATGAGAACTCTGATCTTGGATTCACTTCATTAAGCAATGCTTGTCATCATACATGAAGACTATAATATTTTGAACAAATTTTGCTCGACAGATGATACCAACTGATATGCCAAAGGTTATGAATCTTTTAAAAGTTTACTACTGACTCCAAATTAGTTACTATTCAGTGAAATAATCAATGCGACCGCATTACATCTATCTACTAGCAAAGACAGGTTAGAGTGGTAATCTATGCTTACCTTAAAACTTAAGTAGCAATATCACGCGCTTCATGTTCCATAAATATTTGCCAAATATGATGTCCAATAAATATTTTCTAATCATTTTAAGAATCTCCTGTAAAATTCTGCAAGACATTTGAAGCAATATTCCTAAGCAAAAGGGGTAAAACGCCAGTGTAATCTTTTTAGAGAAAAAATAGAATGGAAAACCAGTTATATTGTATAGGAACAAACTTCTAGTGCAGCAAAAATGGAAAATCTCAAAGCTCCTCGAATGACATGTTCAAGAGAAGAATGTCAGGAGTTACAAGTAATTAAACAAGTACACAAGAATTAAGTTGTTAAGCCTTAATAAAGCTTAATGATGATTAATTGAATTATACATCCACATTACAAGGTAATCACAGAAAAAACTATTCATATTGAGAAATCGAATCAATAAATGGAGAAGCTAGAAGGAGAATTGGATGATGGAAATTATAGATGGAAGTGAAATGTGTACTGACAAGGTGGTCTTTATTTTATTTCAAATTGATGTCCTAAAAGTATTCAAAAGGTTAAGTTCTCCTCTAATACACATGTTAGGCTATTATGAGAATAATGTTTATATCACGGAGATGTGTCCGTATCTTTGAAATAGGCATGGAGCTGGGATACATGATGTATGAGGATTCCACCTACTAACCCTTTGACATCAAAAAATGTTTATAAGTTACCTGATTCCTCGGGACAAGTATCGTCACAAAAGGATCAAGATACACTTTTACATAATAGAGTAAGAAAACAACAAGACGACATATATAATATGACAAACGTAGAACAGTTATCATATTTGAATGGCGAATATAGTACCGGAGGCATGATAGAGAAATGTGTAAGCACCCAAAAAATGCAAAAAGCAAATGACCCGACTCCTGGAATCCTCTATGCTTCTCTAAAACCCACAACTGATTCTCTTTTATGTTTGATCTTGAGAGAGGTTTATTCAATTCCTCGTCTTCTTTTTCCTGGCGATAACACTGCATCTTTATTACCCAAAATGATTACAAATAAAACAGGTAAGAATATGAACACTATCATGTTACTAAAATCAATAAGGATATGAGCAACACATTGACCGACCCAATCCGTAGTTCAAATAATATTGATGCGAATATGTACCCTGTAAGGTTTCCAATAGATGTGTGAGTATGCTAAATACCCATTATAAGTCACCTCTTTGTTGCAAACCCAATTCCCTAGCATTGCAACTACTAAAGGACATCTAGTGGGTTGGAACAATGATCCAGCAACCATTTGAATAGTCATATAGTAATTGAAACTATAAAAATTTGCCCAATATCAAAAGTCAAGAAAGAATTCTGAATAAACCTATTCCTAATGTTTCCCATGTAGAATTTATTTTTTTTGAATCTATTCTGTAGTCTATGTGCCCTGAGATATACATTTTGGTGGCAGACACAAATAGGAAAGCCATATCAAGATTACCATTTCCATTAGGGATGTTAAGTGAAAACCAACCATCTCTAAATGGTACTATTACCTTGACATGGTAAATTAGGACTAAACCCACGGGATTGGGGATCAAGTGCTTGTTTCACAATGTCTGTGGTTTTCCAATTACAATGGTAGCCAAAATATATGTGAAGTGGATATATTAATCAATTTCCATAATAATTTTCTGTATCAAAAATCTAATTTTAAAAAAAGTACAAAATTTTCTGTATCAGATATGTATTTGTTAGCTTCTAACATGGCTTGGTATACAGTAGTGCAGACCATTGGGAAGAGGATAAAGAACATACGACTAAAGAATAGAAAGACATTTTCTTTAGCTAGAGAGCACTGAGCACACCTTGTCACATAGATATTGTAGCATGACATTGTCTCGAGCCTGCACGATATAAGGAAGTTCGATCCCTTCCGACTATAATGATTAGAAATGCACAAAATTAGTTCTAGAGTGATGAGGCAACAATCATTTAAGCATCTTCTCACAAGAAAAAATATGGTAACTACAGTAAGTGAGAGAGCTTCTCATCAACTTAACTGAATTTCACCGCGACCTGATAATAAAGAGATCAAAGTCATCTTGAAAAGTAAAGCTTGGTGGTTGATGTAATTATGTTTATCTGCTGAATGGTAGGTCCTTTGCTCCACTATTTACAGCCTCAAAACACAGCTTATTGTAAGAGACTGACAGGTTCCAAATATTGGTGGCGTTGAGCAGGCGATCCTTCTAGCCAAGCACAAGTCATATGTCTTCATATAAAAAACATGTATACAATTTTAAAGAGAAGAGGGAAAATGTAAGCCAAGCACAAGTCAATATTTCATGAGGTCACTAACTGATGACTTCTATAAGATGTTAATGTAATCACAATAAAGTTTAGGATAGAAACCAACCTGCTCAGCAAATGCCTCGAAACATATTGCATCAAGGGGATGTGTTTCAGCTGGGGAGAAAAATCCAGTGACATTCGATATAATAACCGTGTCTTCTGTCATAATAAAGGTAGTCAAACATTCATTTGACGAAGTTGAACATTGCTTGGTGCTCTGTCCCTCCAATTTCCAATTTGCCTGGCTTTGAGATGCCAATGGTGGATAAACCATGCATGTTGGTCTAAGGACCATATCTATGTATACAGATCCAATATCTTTTGCACACCAGATGCAGGAGTCAAGAACTTTATCAAGCTGAAATAAAAATAAAAGGTAAATCATAAGTACGTAGACCTTCATATATTACACAATGCACAACTTGCAAGTATTTCTTATGTCTTAAAGCTCATAGCTTGGACCAGAAAATCATGTTAAAGTTTTCTGGAAAATCGTATGAAAACAAATAGAAGAACAATCTACTCTTTTAATAACTATTGATTTATTATTAAACGTCTAGATAATAAGCAGCAATCACCATGTCCATAACTACCTTGGGACACTGCATCCTTAATTTAAGGAGCATGTGGTAGATCCAAAAGATTGTCCAAAAGTAGTCCATGTTCACAGGAAATTCCATGACTATCGTCTATTCAGTTTCAGTGATAATGGTTGTAAGGCAAAATAATATAAACAACTGAAAATCTAATGGTAGTGATTCCAAACCTCTGCAAGATTTTGAAATCCAAAAGGTCATTGTAAAAAAGAAAGGGTAGTTGCAGGTGACAAATCCATATCATTCTTTCTTGTTCAAAGCAAAGTAGTGCTTTGATCTTTACATTCAGTAATCTTGTTGATGGAATTGTCTCACACTTCCCGACATTGGAATACTCCATCCTAATTCCGTTAAACAAACATCAAAGTTAGTAGTAGCTATTTCATGTCCTCTGCAAAATGAAAATGGAAGGAGAAATATAAAATCACCCTGATTTATTGTGCAAAACACATATTTCATTAAACACTCAATTAAATTGAATTGTACAGTAAAAAGTGATCGCAAAGATAAAATTGAAAATCAAGTCGGGTATATTCCATATTATTGTTGTAAAACAATGACTACATATTGTTGTTTTGCTTTTTGGTTGACCAAGAGAAAGCCAAAAAGAATATTCATAAGAAAATAATATTCTAATATCTTGCACGTCTTACAAAAGATCATAATTGACAACATAGTAGCCTACATCTTGACCAGTAGAACCAAAACCACCAAGATAAAGATAAATTGGTATGCTCCCATATATGCCTTTAGTCGTGATACAAATAATCTTGTTGCAGCCCAAAAAGAAAAATTGCAATTGGGAACTTTAAATAAGTTAATTGAGATATATTATAAAACAACTTAGATACACAATCCACTTGATATCTTAGATTTTTGTAAAATGGTCCAACTTTTGCACTAATTAATGGCTTTAAAGATTAAATTTATCAAAGAAACATAATGCATGTGTAAATCAAACGGTTAGTAAGGTGCATGTAGAAATCTTAGGTAGACAGTATATCAAAAGAGTAGAAAACTAAGGTATACATTTAAAATTGTGTTTACTTTTAATGTCCGAATCAAAAAGAGCCGAAGAGACCCGACAAGAAGAAACTCAAAAGAACTAATCAGAGCAAACATCATAGTGAGCAAAAAGTGATTTTTTAGCTTGGTGAAAGTATTTGGAAAGATAACCAAATAAATTTAAGATTTATACCAACTCAACTCCTCTTGCCATAATAGTGCTTGTCAATATCCCCTGCCACTGAAGAATTTTGGACCATATTTTCTTGGCATAGTCACAACAGAATAACAAATAAATTTAAGATTTATACCAATGATGAATAAAAGAAAAATGAAGTGGGGAATTGGACATAGTATCATAACAACAAGAAGTATAAAATTGAACTATGCATAAATTTGATTGAAAAAACTGCAAGCAGCAAAACCCTAACCAATTTTCTTCACCTCATCAAAGGGGAAAAAGAGAGATAAGGATTGAGAAACAATAAAGAAGATTTTATAAATTAAAGTGTATTGCACGAAAAAAAATCCACGTGTGAGATGCTACACATGTTCACTATTATTTTTTATCCACGTGTACATTCAGCAACAAGTTGACAGTACAATTTACATTGCTTTGGGTACAATAGTCTACTGCAGTTTCGTACCCAAAGTCTCATTTCTAAATAAAGGGATATATATATATATATATATATATATATATATATATATAAAAGTAAGAAGCAACAGCAAAGGTCAAAAAGGAGAAGATATAAAATGACACCAATTAGTATAGATCCGGTTTTAAGGACAAACACATATCCTTACAGAATCTAAAGTTAAATGTCAATAAATATGTCATTATCTCATCATTATTCAACAAAAGGCCATACTAATAAAGATAAGAACATAAGTAAATGCCGAAACTAATTGAATAAAGGATAAAGTAATGAACAAATCTACTTATGATCTACCGTAAACAAAAAGAAATTCACAACTAGTATAAACCAATAATAGTAACTAAACCCATTTGCTATCAACTAACCTCCCACTAAAAAATGCAACCTTTAACCAAACTCCAAAAAAAATCAGAACAAATTCATGTCTAGCTTAAGGATAAAAACACGTTTAAACTTAACTTGATCTAAATCTTAAGTCATTTTTCACGAATTCATCAGAGAGGCAAATAAGGAAACAGAGAGCAGGAGTGAAATTTCACCAAAAAAAAATGCACTTCTTAATACAAAATGTAGAAAACTTTAGATTTGATAAAATATTTTTTAGATCATATTCTCGATATAGAAGAATACATGAATTGCGTTTTGAGTTATGAGTGTCTGAAGAGGACAACAAGAACGAAGAAACATTAACAATTTTATGTTGTGAAATTAAAAGGCAGATGCCAATAATACACTAAACAAACTAAGTACATGTATTGCATATTCAAGAAAACTCAACTAAAACGAGCCAGAAGAAAATCTTACTATGCTAACATATTACTCAAAATTACTCTAAACAAAGTTTATATGGAAAGAAAGAAATATTACCTGGTTTTGGGCAGCGAACCGGATGACGAGTTTAAGGAGACGATTCCACCACCGCTCTAAACTAGAACAGTGACAAAAGACACAAGATTTTAAAGTAAGGAACCAAGAGTTCCCAAAATCTTTTGGGTACTCTTTTCTCCACGAAAATCCTCTTCTAAACAGTGAATGAAGAGGGTTTATATAGGGCAACTTCTGGGTTAAAATTGAGGGGGGAAACGATAGGGGAATGCCTCACAATTCAGAACTCTTAATGGATAAGGTCGAGGGTGCTGGAATTCGTACGAATTTTCAATGGATTCAGAACCAAGGCCTTCCGATTATGAGTAAAGAAGCGCGAGCGATAGTATTGAGACACCTTCTCGGTTCGAGTACGCCTCTACGAGAGGATAAGGAGAGCACGCTATGTTTGCTGATTTCACGTCTGATGCGAAATGGAGTTGCACGATTTTTTGGTTTTGTCGCGTTGCTTGTAAGTCGTTTTGTTGGAGAAGGAGAAGGGGTTGGATTGTATTGGATATTTGTTGGGTTATTGAATTGTGGTCTGATGGTCTTCTGGTAATTGAAACAAATGGATTGAGAATATTGGGTTAGTCCAATTGTATTTGAATGAGTTTGTTGATGGTATTGTATGAGAATTAGAGAGTTTGGGCCGGTTTGGATTTGGGCTGCTGGAAAAGGCCAAACAAAATGGGTTAAATGTCCCCAAACTTAAAGTTGTCTACAATTTAACTAGGTTTCGACCATATATATTTAAATTCATAAATTAGAAATTAAAAATGTAGCCAAGCTGATCATAGGATAAGCTTGACTAGTGATTATATAAGAGGAATTGATATAATTAACTTACGAGTTTCTTAATCTTAACAAAATAAAATAAATTAGTTTGAACGTAAACTTATGATTCAAAAATTATAACCATAATTTAACTAAACTAGTTTAACAAAATACTTATTAAAACAATGAAAATCTTCATGAGTTGATTTCGGATAGTTATAAGATATACTAAGCATACATATCATTTAAATCGTAGAGGTGACTAAACCATTTAAAATAACTTGAGAAAATATTTGAATTTTATAAAGTCAATTATTTTGAATCGTTTGGAATTTAAGAAGCTCGAAAGTTAACTCCTATCGTGGAGGGGTCAAAATTGGATGTCAACAGCTGCCCCTCGTTTGACTTGGGTTGATCAAAGAAATCTGTGGCAAATGAAATCGACAAATCCAATTTTGACGAACAACATCTTCAAATTTAATAAAATAAATATTTTAGTAAGGGGTTTAGGAATTATGGTCGAGCCCCGGAAGTGGGTTTCCTACATATCTCAGGCTATATGAGAATTCAGGCCACTTGTAGTTCGATACGCTTGATTTGACGCATGTTTTAAAAGAAATGCAAAAGCTATTTCGGTGTCAAAGTATGGAGAAGCCGGAAAGCTCAAGAACAAAGTGATGACGAAATAGTTGGAGTATAGTCGAGTTTTCAACATTGAGCCCTCCTACATATCCCTAAATTTAGGGAATCAGACTGTTTATAGTTCGACTGAATCAGTTGAAAAAGAAATCTCTTATGCGGATTTAACCTGTAGCTTAAGGATAAGTGACAAAATAATTGAGCTTGAAAATGTGATTTGCAAACATCTCAGTTATGAATGCGGGGCCCTTCACATCCATAGGTAATAACTTACACGGGCATAACTTCCAAAGCTCTTGTTGCATTGTCACTCAAATTGAAAATTTACCTCCGGTGAGAGTTGAAAATTTTCACTAAAGGCGAAACTTAGACATAAACTATTAAACCCAAGAAACTACCTGCATGCCTTAGGATAGGAATGTGTCTTGATTGTGGTGGAAGTCATTCCTCAACTCGTGTCCTAAGAGTTTGGTATTCACCATTGGACTATGCCCAGCTCGCTTCTAAGAAAAAGTTCTACGTTGTAGAGCGTCCTGGTTGACGTGGTCCACGTTGTGTATTTGGATTGTCTAGGAAAAGTTGTCAGCGGAAAATATAACATAAATTCAAATATAATTTGTGTAAACCTGGTATAACATGTCATACTAAAGGAGATGATGATGGAATTCAAGTGTAATTCTCTTGAAGGACGTGGTGATTCAAAAGTATGCCAATTTTAACTGTGTGATGATTCAATAATATTATATAATGTGTCACGTTGCAGGATATGACGCTCAAATAATAATTAACGTGTCACGTTGAAGGAAGTGACTCTCCAATAATAATTTAACGTGTCACATTGAAGGAAGTGACTCTCCAATAATAATTAATGTGTCACATTGAAGGAAATGACGCTCCAATAATAAATTAATGTGTCACGTTGAAGGAAGTGACGCTCCAATAATAATTTAATGTGTCACGTTGAAGGAAGTGACTCTCCAATAATAATTTAAGGTGTCACGTTGAAGGAAGTGACTCTCCAATAATAATTTAACGTGTCACGTTGAAGGAAGTGACACTCCAATAATAAATTAACGTGTCACGTTGAAGGAAGTGATGCTTCAATAATAAATTAACCTGTCAGGTTAAAGGAAGTGACGCTCCAATAATAAATTAATGTGTCACATTGAAGGAAGTGACACTCCAATAATAATTTAACGTGTCACGTTGAAGAAAGTGACGCTCCAATAATAATTAAACGTGTCACATTGAAGTAAATGACTATCCAATAATAATTTAACTTGTCACGCTGAAGGAAGTGACGCTCCAATAATAATTCAACGTGTCACGTTGAAGGAAGTGACTCTCCAATAGTAATTTAACGTGTCACATTGAAGGAAGTGACTCTCCAATAATAATTTAATTTGTCACGTTGAAGGAAGTGACGCTCCAAAATTATAGAATCAGGTTGTAACAGAGTAATCTGAGAAACTTTTTATAGTTTGTGAAGTTGGTAATTTCTTTAGTTGTCATTACAACTCTGTCATCACTGCGCTCATGAAAAATTTGTTAGACAAGAACATAAAAATTAATAGTTGTCAGGACTTTTGAATGAGTCACGACAATCTGGCATCCATAGAGAATGCGATATTCTGGAAGAACAAATCGATAACTTTTAACTTTTGAAAGGAGACTTTAAAGACCAACTAGGAATCACACACGAGATGTGTCCCTACTTTGAATCTGGAATTTTGTGTAAAGATAAGATTGGTTTGATTAAGGTCGTCTTTGAAAGTTGAAGTTGAACGAAGATTTGGATAATTTTGAACTATTTCAAAAAGTTGCCCCTGTTTCAAGTCCAAGGGTACTTAATTGAAATAATTTGTAAGACACAAGAATGACTGATTCAAAAACATTCCCATGTTTCCTCCGGGGTCTGTAATTTGAAACATTAGGAAGACCAAATCTTTATATAGGATTTCCAACGTATCTTGTTAGAACAAGAAATCAGGTCTGACGTAGTTCGAACCTGAAACTTAAAGGAATTTTTTAAAGAATGAAAAATTTTCCTTTAAAAGAGACGAGAGATTTGAAAAATGAAGACAGAAAACTCTTCAAATAAAATAGAGGATAAAAGTCAGTTTAGATTGGTTCCTTGGTATCAGGAATACTTCATAGTAAAATTTTTGGATAAGGACTAGTGTGTGTCCTTTGTTTGGTGAATGTCTGAGCAGATATTTTAAAAATTGAAAGGATCTCTTGAAATTTTGACTCCAATTTTGACGACACCTGCAAAGCTCAAATGTAATTAGTAGCAAAAATTATCATAGTAAAAGCTAAATTTTGAAATAAAGTTTTTCAGCTTATATTGGTTTGAATAACGTTTTATGATCATCACCCTTGCGCCAAGCTATCCCATCTGGTAAAAATATAAAATGTGTAAGTCATAGTGAATTGAAATGAAAATTTTAAAACATGAGCAAGAGTAGAAATTATCTGTCATGATGAGGCAACTGTGGGTCTAATGATGTGTTGTAACTTTATAGTTCCTGCATCCAAAGATAAATTCTTAGTTTTGAGACACTGATTCGTGTTGGTTTTGTCTTGCCATCCTGGTGCTCTTTTGCCTCTGGATTACAAACTTGTTTGGTCTTGAAATGCCACTTGATGGAATTTTTGAGGACCTCCTAAAAAATTCTGCCCCGGTTTTTAAGATAACATAAACTTTGAAATTCTATAGTTTTCTGTTGAATTTTTGAGTGAATCTAAAAAATTATGCCCAGTTGCAACTCTGAAGTGATCCTTGATTCTAGACTAATTAAATTTCTCTTTCTGATGAATTTTGATATCCTCTCAAAATCTGCCCCAGTTTTCATTATAAAGAGAACTGAAAAACTTACGAGGAACATGACCAATCCGGTGCGGCGCCTATGTATCCCGTTGAATAAGAATCAGGTCAAACGTAGTTCCAAATCTTGAGGATTAACAGGACTAGAAAAATTTTAAATAAGAACACGACCGAGGCCAACATAGGCCGCCTACGTATCTCATTCTCGATAATTCAGGTCAAGTGTAGTTCATATACAAGAAAACTTTAAAAAGGGATAAAGGGGTGACCGAAGCCGACATAGGCCGCCTACGTATCTCATTTTTGAGAATTCAGGTGAGACGTAGTTTATCACAAGTGAAAGATGCTTAAAAGGGAAATCAAAACCAAACAAACGATTATAAAGTGACAAAGCGATAAAAGTGAGATTATAGAGAAATAAAATAACAAACTCTAAATGCAAGACTAAAAGCTGCCAAAAGTGCGAACTTCAGGAAACTGGCTTCTTCTTTGCAACTGGTCATGTCAACCACTACTCCTTATGCTTGGGTAACGGATTGGTATTCACATTCGGTGGAGCTTGAGCGAGTCTTACCACCTCATTGTCAATTAGATCTTGAATCTTGTTTTTGACAGTGATACACTTCTCGGTATCATGACTAACAACCCTTGAATGATAAGCCAACGCTTACTTGGGTCATACTACTCGGCTGAAGTATTCACAGCCTTGGCTTCCACTAGATGAAGTATTTCTGCCTCTTTCAGTCTCTCAAAAAGTTGACTCCGTATCTCGCTCAATTGAGTGAAGACTCTAGCTGGTTTTTTCTCAAAATTAGGACGAGGTGCATTGTTTCAAGGATTTTGCATTGGTCGTGGAGAACGAAATGTTGCTTGATTGTTGCAAACATAGTATTGTGAATTAGGATAGCCTGGAGGTGATTGACGATTATATGATGCAGCTCCTCGGGTCGTTATCATCATAACTTCTTTCTCCTTTTCTTTCTAAAAGAACCAGTTTGATAGGTTCTATTAGCAAATTGAGATGAGGTGTAACTCATTATTCTGCCACTTTTGAGACCGTCTTCAATTATTTCTCCAGCCTTAATAACTTCCGTGAATGTCTTTCCACTCATAGTCACCATTCGCTCATAGTATTCTGATTCTTGAGCTTAAATGAAGTAAGTGATCATTTCTGATTCCTCCATAGTTGGGTGCACCCTAGAAAATTCTTCTCTCCAACGAATGGAATATTCTTGAAAGCATTCAGTCGACTTGGGTTTCAACCTGGTAATAGAAATTCTATCGGGAGCAATTTCAACATGAAACTTGTAGTGATCCACAAAAGCATTCGCCAGATCATCCCAAGTACGCCATTTGGTTACA